CTTTCCGACTGAGGTACCCGAGATCGTTCTTTTGTCTCCGCTGCCTCGTGGTATGTGTTCTGGACACTGCCGGCACAGAGCGAGTTCAGTCACCAACCCACATCCACTATGGGCCCCAAATGTTGTACCGCGGCGTCCCCGGCGTTTCTGCGTTATTGCGTTTATCAGAACTGTCTTGCTCTTTTATGGTCTTTACACGAGTAACTGATGGATTTAGAATTATAAAGGATTAGAACCTAACCGCTGTCAATAGGATTTACTATGAGAAAAGATCATGTCCTTTGAACGTCAATAGAAACCGGTATAAACTGCAAAAATCCTTTAAAAGATGACATATTTTCTTAAACCAAACATCTCACTAACCTCTCTTTGAATAGAATATCACGTGATTATAAAGCAGTTACCTGTCATTTACACAGTTCTCCTTAATGAAAGCATTCGGCAAACAAAGCACATGCGCCTGGCAGCCCCTTTCGCCTGGAATCCTGAGAGCTGAGGCTTTGCAGGGAAGCCATGCTATGGAGGAGGTGAAACGCAACGAACGCCCCGACCTTTTCTTTCACTTATTCACGAGTAATTACCAGTTTTTTATAACAATACTAAAAAGGTTGATTTGAATATAAACATTTAGAAGATGATTGGTGCTATAATACGCCTCAAAAAATGGGCAAAAGCGACGTAAATTAAATGTTCCTTGGGTCTTCCTGCAGGGCCTTCGCAACAAGCAGAAAAAAGACGAAACAATTTGTCAGTTAGCATGCTTTCTGCCGCCGGCGATACTGCTCCTAGCATTATTGCTTCCGATGCTGCTGCAGTTGGAATTGTTATCGTAATCATGTTATTATTATAATTGCGGTTATTATTATTATTACCTCCGATGCTGCTGTAGTTGAAATTGTTACAATGTTCATTTTATTATCCTAATTGCGATTATTATCATTATTTTTATATGTGTTGCTGTTTTGATGATAATTTTCGTGATTATCATCATCACAAATATTAACATTACTGTTATTACAGTCCGGACAATTTTTATGACTTTTCTTATCATTATTATCGTTGCTGTCGCTGTTATTATTATAGTTATTATTAATAATTACTATAATATTTTCATTATTATGTAATCATTATAGTTATTGAATAGCCATTATTATTTAATTTCTATCAATATTATCATTATTTTAGTTATTATTAATATTGCTATTACAAATGACACTGCTGTTATAATTGTCATCATTATTACGGTCAGTATTAGCATATTTTCATTATTTTTGTAATTATTGTTATCATTATCATTGTTATTTTTATTACCATTATTATTTTTCATCATCATTATTTTTGTTATTTTGATCTATATTGTCATTGTTATTATCATTATCATTATTATTATCCGCAGTAGTTGGAGTTGTATCGTTTCATTATTGTTCTCATTATTGTAGTTATTATGGTTCTTGTTCTTATTGTTATTGTTATTCTTTTCTTATTGTCATTAGTAGTAGTATTGTTCTTATTGTGGTTATTATTGTTATTGATATAATTTTTATCATTTTTATTGATTATCCTTATGACCATTACCATAGTTCTTATTATTATTATTGTTATTATATTGTTAGTATTATTGCTATTGTTATTGTTATCATTAGGATCTTTATTATTATTATTATAATTTTTACTATTGTTATTATTATCATCATTATTATTATCATTATCATTCTTCTTCTTATTATTATTATTATCATCACCATCATCATCGTTATCATAACTGATATTATCATTGTTAATGTTTATTATTATCATTATCATTATTATTACTATATCCTTATTGCTGTTATTATTAGTAGTAGTAGTAGAAGTACTACTACTTCTACTACTACAGTACTACAACTACTGCTACTAGTACTACTACAAATATTACTACTACTACCACTATTAGTACTACTACTACTACTACTATTACTAATACTAATACTAAAACTAGTACTACAACAACAACAACTACTGCTACTACAAATATTACTACTACTACCACTACTACTACTGCTACTACTACTACTATTCCTAATACTGCTACTACTATTACTACTGTTACTACTACTACTACTACCATAATTGTTGCCGTTGTTATTGTTGTTGTTAGTGTTTTTGTTGCCAGTATCAGGTGAAATTATATAATAATCTCATAAACTTATTTTTTATCGAAGTGAAGTGAGGTTATATAATAAAAAGTGAAGTGAAGTGACGTGACATGACGTGAAGGAAATTAAGTTATGTATTAATCTCATACACTTTTTTATCGAAGTGAAGTGAAATTATATAATAAAAAGTGACGTGACGTGACGTGAATTGAGGTGAAGCTATATAATCCCAAACACATTTTTTTTCTTACCGAAGTGAAGTTATATAATAGAAAGTAAAGCGAAATGAAGTGAAGTGAAGTGAAGTGATACCATACATTTTTTTTTTACCGAAAACTCAAATCAAGGTTATATCGTGACTAGAAGATTAATGTAATATTGATGAGTAAACACATTTTAGTTTGTCAAGGTTATGCGTATTGTTATGGTGATAATGCTAAAGCTAGGATTGATGGAGGTGATGGTGATGAAATGATGGAGGTGATGGTGATGGAGATGATGGTGATGAGGAAGATGGAGATGATGGTGACGAGGAAGATAGAGATGATGGTGATGAAATGATGGAGAAGATGGTGATGGTGATGAAGATGATGGAGGTGATGGTGATGAAATGATGGAGATGATGGTGATGGTGATGAAGATGATGGAGGTGATGGTGATGAAAGGATGGTGGTGATGGTGATGAAGATGATAATGGTGATGAAGTGATGGAGAAGATGGTGATAGTGATGAAGATGATGGAGGTGATGGTGATGAAATGATGGAGATGAAGATGATGCTGATGAAATGATGGATATGTGAAGATGATGGTGATGAAGATGATGATGATAAGATGCAATACTGAATATAATTATAATGATAAAGATGATAACAGTAATGCTAATCCTAGAGGTGATAATATCAAATCATTAATACAATCTTTTCAACAGTTATAACTTCAATAATAGCAAGAGTAATAGCAACTATAATTATATAAAAAAAATATATGTTACTAATGACATTTATTCATTATAATTTGCTGTGACATTTTGATCAAGATGAAATATAATTTTATGTCAATACTCTTATTTAACCTACCTTTAATTTTGATTTAATTTTAAATTAATATAAATATACTTAAGGTAAGATATATTTCCTTTAATTCCTGATGAAATCTGAGGTAAGGAATCATTAACAATAAATAACAAACAACAACAACAACAAAACAAAAACACATTAATATTTCGTTTCAAAAAACAAAAAAATCTCTTCCACGCTATGTTTTCAAAACGAGGGTAGACCGCGAGAGAGAATGAAAGAATATGAAATAGGGAAGAAAGTGAAATAAAGATTGTAATAACAACGAATGAATAATAATAATGAAAAAAAGTATAGCAAAATCACTGTTTTTCAAAGTTGTTGTCTTATGAACATAAAAGCTTCTTTGTGTATTGGGTTTCTGTCAGTCATGATGTGGCGGAATAAAGGCTTTGGTCGTGACAGAGAGAGAAGGGGGGGGGGGGGAGAGAAGAATGGGGGGCAGGGAGAAAGAGAGAGGGGGAGGGGAGAGAGAAAGAGGGGGAGGGAGGGGAGAGAGAGAGAGAGGGGAGATAGAGGAAGAGAGAGAGAGAGGGGGGAGGGGGAGAGGGACAGAGAGAGACGGGGGGGAGAGAGAAAGAGAGAGAGAGAGAGAGAAAGGGAGGGACGGAAGGAGGAAGAAAGAGATATATTTGTCCTTCTCCTTCTTCTTTCTCTTCCTCCTCCTCCTCCTCTTCTTCTTCTTCTTTTTTCTTCTTCTTCTTCATTAGAGAGTTATTAATATTATTACTATTATCATCATCATTATTCTTCTTCTCGTTAATATCATTATCATTATTATCATTAGTATCATTATCATTATCACTATTGTTATAATTGTTGTCGTTAAGTATTATTACTATTATTATGTTTATTATCATCATTCTTATTATTACCATTATTAGTATCCTCATTATCAGTATCATCATTATTATTATAATTATAATATAATAATGATAATAATAATGATAATAATAATAATTATTATTATTGTTATTGTTATTACTATCTGCATTATTCTCATTATTATTTTTAATATCATTATTGTTGTCATTATCATTATTATTATTATTATTATTAATATCATTATCACTATTATTATTATCATTATTATTATCATTATTATTATTATTATTATTGTTATTGTTATTATCATCATTCTCATTTTTATCATTATTATTACTGTTATTACTGTTATAATTGTTGTTATAATAATGGTAATAACAGTAATGATAATAATAATAATTATCATTATCATTATCATTATTATTGTTATTATTATTATCATTATTATTGTTATTATTATTATTATTATTATTATTATTATTATTATTACTATTATTATTATTATTATCATCATTACTATCACCTTCATTATCACTTTCCTCCTTCTCACCATCCTCCTCCTCCTCCTCCTCACAACCACTCTCATTATCACCATGACCCCCCCCCCCCTCCTTCTCCTTCCCCGCAACGCATAGCAACCGTTTTTGGGGAGAAATGTCGGGCAGAGGCAGCGTTTAAGGGGGGGGAGGGGAGAAGGAAGGAGGGGGAGGGGAGAAGGAAGGAGGGGGAGAGGGAAGGAAGGAGGGGGGAGGGGGGGAGGGGGAGAGGGAAGGAAGGAGGGGGGGAGGGGGGTGGGAGAGGGAAGGAAGGAGGGGAGAAGGAAAGGAGGGGGGGAGGGGGATGGGAAAGGGAAGGAAGAAGGGGGAAGGAAGAGGGGAGAAGGAAAGGAGGGAAGGAGGGGGATGGGAAAGGGAAGGAAGGAGGGAGAAGGAAAGGAGGGGGGGGAGGGGGATAGGAGAGGGAAGGAAGGAGGGGGAAGGAAAGGAGGGGGGGAGGGGGGGGAGAGGGAAGGCAGGAGGGAAGGAGGGGGAGGGGGGGGGGAGGTCCAGTTACATCCCACATTTCTCAGCCTTGACTCGTGATTGCCTGAAAGAGGAGAGACCGCAGGGGGAGGGAAGGACGG